ATAAGGTTTAACCATAAACCTACATCTTTCATCCCCCATTTAAGGTTAGGGTAGACAGCAATTTCTTGGCAGAAAGGCTCATCTTAATGAAACCATCCAAGTCCGCCAAATTATGGTAAGCCTCCAGAATGTGTTCAAGATGTTGAAACAATCCACTACACCTTTCTGGAAATTTTTCACTCAAGACAGCAGAAAATATACAAAAAGCTTGTAATCCAGAAGGAAAAAGATGTATAGAAACATTAGGTGAATTAACAGCTGACCATACATTACAGGAGATGACACAGGCACTGATAACTGATGGGTAGAAAAATTATCAGAAAACTTAGTTAAAGAATAAATAAGGGAAGTAATGACATGCAAATGTGGCAACTCACTAGCCTGCTGATGAAGCGCAGCCGGAAGAGGAGCATCTTGTGCAGTAACACGCTGGGCTGCGATATCAGGATATCCTTCTGTTGAGCTTCGGGGGGCTGTGATACCGCCGCCATATCCCACCTGGCAGGCCTAGACAGCTGTGGCACTGGTTGCCTGGCGACTGGGGAAGCCATAGGAGCCGCTTGTTGAATAGGGGAGGAGCACCAGCATCGCCCATGCCCCCTCCTGCTGCATATGGAAGAAAGTGAGAAGACCTGTCTCCTCTTGACCAGACGGCCTGAGAGATGCCCAGCGGTGACGTTATCTGGTTCTTCCTCCCGTGGGGTGGTAATTGTCGGCTTGACCTGAAGCCATCGAGGACCCAGGGCACTCTGGTGGTAGGCTGCACTGAATCCAGTGGGATGGGGTGCGCTGATCCACGGAGGAGCTTGCTAGCAGAGGAGGTCTTGCCGAGACATTTGGCGAGTTTCTCTGGGGGGTGTCGCAAGGGGGTCTTCGGGTTCCATCTGCGGCGGCTCCTCTTCTACCAAAGTCAGGCACCACCGCAGCCAGTCTTCTCCGCCGTCACTAGCTGACTTTTCAAAGACTCTTTGGGCCATCGACTTCATGACCTTTCTCAGCCAGCGAGTTCCTGTATTATAACCCCAGTATTATAGCTTTCAACTTTGCGAAGCCGATCCTGGTCAACTGCAATTAAAGGTTGAAGGGAGGATCCTTAAATAGTGATGTGGAAAATTCTGGAAAAACACGTTTTGTCCCGCTGTCAGTACATGCGATGTTTTTTTTTTTTTAAATAATGAGGGGGGAATATGGCAGTCACCATCCAATGTGTGTGGACCCTAATTCATGCCCCCTTTTTCCATTATTTACATTGTTTTCAGCACTTTGATGCAGGGTATAAATGATCAGTGTAAATGTTTAGTCACATGAAAGGGAGCTGCAAAGTGATCCTAATTTGCTGTGTTTCATTGTTAGCTAGCTCATAGCTCTTTGGGGAGTCCTTTGTTGTATAAAATGAGATCACTAAAAAGCTATATTCCTTTTCCTTTGAAGTCTCTTTAGCCAACTCAAAACTTGTAGTGGAGTCTTTTGTTATGTGTAAAATATTTTTTTTTACATACTAAGCAGATATAAAGTAAGGCCCCATTCACATGAAGGGTCCAATCAGGTTGACCCTGATTGGACCCTCCATTCACCCTTATGGTCTGGTGGATATATGCCATCTAGGCAGATTGGACTGGAGGGCAGTTGGGTGTAAATGGACAGCAGAGTCTGTTTACACCTGAGCAGCCATAAAGCAGAGCGGACACAGACCTGCCCTGTGTGACATTTTAAAATCAACTAAAATTAAACTATCCCAAAATAATTATAGTTTCCGTTGAAATTCCCTTCAAACTGTTGAAGCTTCAACAAATCTTCTGTCAATTTTAAACAAACAGGCAAGATCTGCCTTCACTCAAAAAATTGCGTCTTGTGCCCTGAAGACATTTAAACTGGGAAAAATGTACAGATCCCCTACTGTACATTTGTCTTGTGCTTACATTTGTAAAATCATACACTACATAAATATTGCACACAGTGCTCAGGCTGATTACTTTTGCATGCATTAAATAGATTTGTTACTCCTACTTCTCAGACTGGCTGAATAGCAGGTCACCCCAATGACCACTATGAGGCAGACAGGTATGTATAGTAATGCTTTCATAGTGCCTCTTTTATTTGTAAATCCCCAGGGTTAACACAGGGTCACTTTAAGGTTCTTATCCCAAGCTCTAATACCCCAGTCACACTGATCACAACTTTGAAATCATGTGACTTACTGTGAAATCGCACGATTTCAAAGTCAGATGACATGCTGATTTGAGGTGCGATTTGCAAGACATCTGACACAGATGCAGTACTTTAGAAATCGGTGCGGCTCTGACCAAGTCAGCTGACAGCTGTAATTGCGGACAATAGGGAGTGACTTGCCATACGATTTGCAAGTCGTATGGCATGCAAATCAAATGCTAATTCACACCCAGTGTGACCAGGGACTAAGATACAGCTTGACTGTTTCTGTTTAAACCCTTAAATTGCAGGGAGGCAGTCCCCCTTATATCCATGAAATTACCACTCTAAGGCCTCATGCACACAAGTGTAAAAAAAAATATTGCTTTCAAGTGCATCCGGCATTTTCTTTTACACCTCTAAACACAGCTGCATGTTACCTAAAGTGCCCATGTACAGTACATGCAAGCGTTTGGGCAGGTATTGCATACCTAAAAATATGTCCAAACTTGTGTTTCTGAAGAAGCTTATTTGCATTTTTTATATTTAAACATGCAGAAATGTGTAGAAATGTGCATAAACCCATGTAAAAGTCTAAACATGTAGACTTAAATCATTCATCATAATTGAATATTCTAGCCAATGGAATGAGTTTACGTGCATAAGCCTCTGAACGCTATGCACGCATAAACGCATGTAATTACATGACAAATTGAGCATTATGTAAAACTTACCTTAAAATGAAGCCCTCCAGCGGCCCGCTGTCATCGCTGTAGAGGCTTCCATCTTCACCCGTCTTCCTTGCAGGCTCGTGAGTTTTGGCCGCCTGACAAGCCAGATAAAATTCGTTTACAACCGGTAACCACTACTCGTGCACAACCTAATAAGTGTTCAATCCCTGTGCGCCAGGATATTACTGTCTCCCCAGAAAGTTCAAAATAATAAAAAATCTTTCACAGCATCCGTACAGTTAATATCCCCTACAAAATTAAACAAAACGAGTTTACTACCACTTTAACGGGGACACAGGCAGCAATTAAAATTGATAGGTGTTCTAATCCCTCTGGGCGCTATCCAAAACAAAAAAAAATGTTTTGCCTTTAGTTATACTATCAGTTGGATTTTTCTGCCAGCTCCTGGCAGAATGATTCAGCGTTTAGAGGCATTTTTCTATACGCCTGTGTGCATGAGGCCCTAAGTGTCTGCTTAGCACTCACAATACCTATATTTTCATGGTTTATCTTTTATCTACAACTCGATGGGGTATTTTATCACCACTTGGGAAAAGTTTTAGCCTGTTTAAGGGTCTGAATTATCATGGTGATATTAAACAGGTACATTCCTTTTATTTAGTCTGTACTTATCACAGAGAATTCATGGTGGAGAGAAGAAACGAAAAACACCCTGTTTTTGGTTAATTTCTGACTTATCACGGTTTATTAAATGGTTATTATAAATTATAGAGATCAAATACAGGGAATTATCACTGCAATAAGCAGTGAAAAGTATTATCACTGGCTTTACACCATTTATTAAATATACACCTTAGCAGGTGGCGTGACCAGCAATGGAGATGTGAGCAGCACTGCCTAGGAGCTCCAGTGGCACCGCTACTTTATATCTGATCCTGAGGACACAGCATGCCCACAAACCTCTCTGCACCAGGGAATCCTGACTGCTGACATCCCGCTGCTACAATTGGGCACAGCTCTTCCAAACCTCCTGGGGATCGCTCCCGATGGCCCTTCCCAGGTTGTACCTGGTGTTGGTTATGTGTTAGAGAAGACACTGGTAGCGATGAGGCAGAACTCTGTTTTACTTGTGTGGCTTAAGTTGCAAACATACAGAACACTTCAGTAATGTGTGACAGCAGACATCTTGGTTTTGAAGAGAGAGAGGAAGAGAAGAAGGAAGAGAGAGAGAACAACAAGTTTTACACATATGCACAACTAGTAACCTTAGTGTACAGTGCCATCTACTGGTCAAGTGATATTAACACACAATACTATATAGTACATGCTGTTGCATTCCCAACACCTGGCAGCAGACTGGTGGCTTCATGTGATCTCCCCCAGTGGGAGAAGCACAAGAAGATGGGGGTGAGTGATCGTACTAAAAGGACTACAGCTTGAAACCCAAACCCCCTAGTACTTATCAGGAATTACTTTGTGGAGTAGGTACCTTCCCCCTCCCCTTCATCCATGGAAGACAGACTTGAATTTCCCCCTAGGCATTTGGGGCTGGAGTGGGGGAAGGAAGGGGGAACCCATTTTCTCACATGCAGCGTGGCTGCCATTTCTCCTGATGGGACACCTGTCTCTCCCTCACAACAGCCAGCAGAGAAGGAATTATCACTGAAACATGTTCTGGAGGCTATTCATACATGCCACCCAGAGTGATTCAGTGAAAGTGGACCTGTCATTTCTCAAACATGATATGCAAAAAATGAAAGTCAGACTGTCTACAACAGAACAACGTATCAATGATGTGTAGGATGCTGTGGACCCCTTGCAAGGTGATGTTCATTCCCTACAACAGTCTGCCAAAGACCACTCTGCTAAACTGAAAGATTTTGAAGATAGACTATGCCGTAACAATTTGCACTTTATTGGATTCCCTGAGGGGTCGGACAGCATGGATCCTGAATGTTTTATGGAAACTTGGCTCAAATCTGCCCTAAATGTGGACACTTTTTCTACACTCTTTGCTATCAAACGAGCCCTTCATGTACATCTGCACCCCCTGCCTTCTGGAGTGTCACCAGGACCTCTCCTCATCACACTCCTGCATTTCAAGGATAAGGAACAGATTCTGAGAGTGGTTCCTACTCTTGGTACTGTAACATTCAACGGAAACAATATGTTAGGAATGGACTGGCCAGCAATGGTGGGACTCACCTGCCTTTTGATCTGCAGTACCAGGGCTGGCCAGCGGGTGCTCCCCAGCAATCAGAGACTCAACCTTTCAGCCAGCTAACACCTGGAACTGATGATGCTGGGGTATTTAAGGGATGGCCAGACCCACAGACTCTGCCTTGGTGTTGTGTTTCTCTTGGGCCCTGTATCCTGTTCCTGCTCTCTGTTCCTGTCTGATTCTCTGCTACCTGTCCTGATCCCTGGCTTGTGACCCTGACCATCCCTCTGCTTGACCCTCTGTACTACGCTGCTTGCTACCTGCTGAACCTGGCCTGTGACCCCGACCATTCTCTGCTTGCTCCCCCTGTACCTACCTGCCCAATTGATATTGACCCGGCCTGCCTGACGACGCTTGCTTGTATGTACTGTTATCTGTGGGTGGTTTGGTTTGGTTTGTTTGCACTGTATTATGTTTAGTATTGCACTGCGTTTATGTTTGTATGGTTAGTGTTAATAAATTGTATTGTTTATCACATATCTGAAGTCTGCGTTTCCCTGCATCAGTCACACACCTCTGGTCATACCTGGGAGCCCTGACATTACACCAAGGCCAATCCTGACCAGAAGTGGCTGCACAGGGAAGCCATCTTGGCTTGTTGATGGGAAGGATGGATCTGGATGAGGTTGAATATTTATATCTGCTAGTGTTTGATGACAGGGAGTATGCTTATCAAACTCTGAAGGAGTATACCCGGGATGAACTGCTAGAATGTATACGGCTCGCTCATGTTCTAGTAGATCAGGGCACAGAGTTCTCTGAGGTGCAGCCTTTGATTGAAGTTTGTGCTGAGTTGGTTTCATCTGGTTCCCCCGAATGCAGGGATGAATTTTTGCCACCATTTAGTGCAGACCAGGTAGAGTCCCTGGTGTGGTTATTAGAGGATGATGTGGGTTACTTTCTGGAGCGTTATTCCACATGTTCACCACAGACACTAAGAGATTGTATAAACGCAGTACAGTCATTGACCAGACAGGCTTTGTGTAAGCTCAGCTTTGTTCAACCCATACTGCAGACATGGACAGATTTGTTGCACCCAGCCTCAGTCAGCTTACAAAGACCCAGTCCTGCTTCTAATCTATTTCCTCAAAACTCTATTCCTGCATTCCCAACAGCTCCTCCTGCCCTGCTATCTACCGCATGTCAGTACCCTGTTCCCACTCGCTGCACCTATCCTGCCTTTAACCCTGTAAAAGAGCCCTCTGTAGCAACCGCTCCCTCTCCTGTTCCATCCTCCAGTTCTTCTCTGTCTCCAGCCAGCTGCTCCATTCGTTTGCAGACCTGCGTTTACTTGCAGTGCTCCAGTAGTTAAAAACAGAAAAAAGCGAAAATTCTTTCCAACCAATACCATCCTGCCAGTATCCAAACCGGTGAGCCTGCCTTCCGTGGTTCAGCCTGAAGCCTCTACTCGGCCTGAAGCCTCTACTCGGCCTGATGCCTCTACTCGGCCTGATGCCTCTACTCGGCCTGAAGCCTCTACTCGGCCTGAAGCCTCTACCCAGCATGATGAACTGATCCAGCCTGACGATCCTATTAGGCCAGTTGACTCGATGCCCGCTGTTGATCCAGATGATCCGGTACCTGATCCGGTGCCCGCTGTCGAGCCAAATGACCTGATGCCTGGTGACCCAGTGCCCGCTGTCATACCTGGTGACCCGATGCCCGCTGTCGAGCCAGACAATCCGGTACCTGATGACCCGGTGCTCACTGTCGTGCCTGTTGACTCGGAGCCCACTGCCTTGCCAGATGACGCGGTGCCCGCTGTCAAGCCAAATGACCTGATGCCTGGTGACCCAGTGCCCGCTGTCCAGCCAGACGATCCAATGTCTGACCCAGTGCCCGCGGTCATACCAGTTGACTCGGAGCCCACTGCCTTGCCAGATGACGCGGTGCCCGCTGTCGAGCCAAATGACCTGATGCCTGGTGACCCGATGCCCGCTGTCCAGCCAGACGATCCAATGTCTGACCCAGTGCCAGCGGTCATCCCAGTTGACTCGGAGCCCACAGTTGTGCCTGGTGACTCGGTGCCCGCCGCCCCGCCTGGGGGCCTGAGACCTGTCGTTCCGCCTGGGGGTCCGGCACCCGCCACTCCGCCTGAGGGCCCGAGACCTGTCGCTCCGCCTGAGGGCCCGAGACCTGTCGCTCCGCCTGGGGGTCCGGCGCCCGCCGCTCCGCCTGAGGGCCCGAGACCTGTCGCTCCACCTGGGGGTCCGGCGCCCGCCGCTCCGCCTGAGGGCCCGAGACCTGTCGCTCCGCCTGGGGGTCCGGCGCCCGCCGCTCCGCCTGAGGGTCCGAGACCTGTCGCTCCGCCTGGGGGTCCGGCGCCCGCCGCCGCTCCGCCTGAGGGTCCGAGACCTGTCGCTCCGCCTGGGGGTCCGGCGCCCGCCGCTCCGCTTGAGGGCCCGAGACCTGTCGCTCCTCCTGGGGGTCCGGCGCCCGCCGCTCCGCCTGAGGGCCCCGAGACCTGTCGCTCCGCCTGGGGGTCCGGCGCCCGCCGCTCCGCCTGAGGGCCCGAGACCTGTCGCTCCACCTGGGGGTCCGGCGCCCGCCGCTCCGCCTGAGGGCCCGAGACCTGTCGCTCCTCCTGGGGGTCCGGCGCCCGCCGCCGCTCCGCCTGAGGGCCCGAGACCTGTCGCTCCTCTGGGGGTCCGGCGCCCGCCGCTCCGCCTGAGGGCCCGAGACCTGTCGCTCCTTCTGGGGGTCCGGCGCCCGCCGCTCCGCCTGAGGGCCCGAGACCTGTCGCTCCTCCTGGGGGGGCCGGTCGCTCCTCCTGGGGGGTCCGGCGCCCCCGCCTGGGGGCACGATGCCCGTCGCCCCGCCCTGGGGGCACGATGCCCGTCGCCCCGCCTGGGGGCACGATGCCCGTCGCCCCGCCTGGGGGCCCGATGCCCGTCGCCCCGCCTGGGGGCCCGATGCCTGTCGCCCCGCCTGGGGGCCCGATGCCTGTCGCCCCGCCTGGGGGCCCGATGCCGTCGCCCCGCCTGGGGGCCCGCCCCGCCTGGGGGCCCGACGCCGGTCGCCCCGCCTGGGGGCCCGACGCCGGTCGCCCCGCCTGGGGGCCCGACGCCGGTCGCCCCGCCTGGGGGCCCGACGCCGGTCGCCCCGCCTGGGGGCCCGACGCCGGTCGCCCCGCCTGGGGGTCCGACGCCTGCTGCTCCGCCCGGGGGCCCGGTGCCTGCTGCTCCGCCCGGGGGGGGCCCGGTGCCTGCTGCTCCGCCCGGGGGCCCGGTGCCTGCTGCTCCGCCTGGTGGCCCGCTGCCTGCTGCTTCGCCTGGTAAAAAAACTGATGTGCCTCTGCCCGGAGTCCTGCCCGATGTGCCTCTGCCCGGAGTGCTGCCCGATGTGCCTCTGCCCGATGTGCCTCTGCCCGATGTGCCTCTGCCCGGTGCGCCTCTGCTCGATGTGCCTCTGCCCGGAGTCCAGCCCGGTGTGCCTCTGCCCGGAGTCCTGCCCGGTGTGCCAGTCTTTGATATCCCGCCAGTTACCAGACCCGGGCGGTGGAACATTTTGCCCAGCTAGGACTGTTTGGAGCCTCCTGAGGCCGCTCCTTGGGGGGGGTACTGTTAGGAATGGACTGGCCAGCAATGGTGGGACTCACCTGCCTTTTGATCTGCAGTACCAGGGCTGGCCAGCGGGTGCTCCCAGCAATCAGAGACTCAACCTTTCAGCCAGCTAACACCTGGAACTGATGATGCTGGGGTATTTAAGGGATGGCCAGACCCACAGACTCTGCCTTGGTGTTGTGTTTCTCTTGGCCCTGTATCCTGTTCCTGCTCTCTGTTCCTGTCTGATTCTCTGCTACCTGTCCTGATCCCTGGCTTGTGACCCTGACCATCCCTCTGCTTGACCCTCTGTACTACGCTGCTTGCTACCTGCTGAATCTGGCCTGTGACCCCGACCATTCTCTGCTTGCTCCCCCTGTACCTACCTGCCCAATTGATATTGACCCGGCCTGCCTGACGACGCTTGCTTGTATATACTGTTATCTGTGGGTGGTTGGTTTGGTTTGTTTGCACTGTAGTATGTTTAGTATTGCACTGCGTTTATGTTTGTATGGTTAGTGTTAATAAATTGTATTGTTTATCACATATCTGAAGTCTGCGTTTCCCTGCATCAGTCACACACCTCTGGTCATACCTGGGAGCCCTGACACAATATCTCCATTTTCCCAGATTTTTCTGCTGCCACTCAGAAACAGCAGGCCACTTACACTACAGATAAGAAGAGGCTGCGTGACAAGAATCTGGCCTATAGTATGCTTTATCTGGCCAAATTATGTGTAGTTCATGGTGGCAAAACACTATTTTGTTTACCTCCCCTGGTGATGCCTCTGTATGGTTGAATTGCCTCCCTTGAACTTCTGCTTTTTGTGGTAGGAGTCCATATAAATGATGGCTTGCTGTGTCAAATATATCTAGTCAGATTTGCGAATATGTTTGCATGCTCTGTCTAACATGGCTTTCGGATATAGTTTTTACATAACGACCTTTTGTGTGTATTGTCGTTTGATTTTCCTCTGTTCTTACACAGGAATTGTTTGGGGTGTGCCCCCTACAGGTTGTTCATGTTTGGGGAGAAAGCCCACTATGTTTTTCCTTGTCGGGAGGGGGGACAGGTTTCTTCTTTCGCCTACTCATTCTACTATTACGGTGTGGGTTCTGGAGGTGGCAACTGCGGCTAGCGATTTGGTATATGATACAATGGCCTGGTTTGTTTATAATTCCCCTTTTCTCTAACTCATGTAATTTACCTTAGTAAGGGGGTCTCAAGTCTAAAATCAAACGTTCACTACTTTCCACCCACTTAAAGAAAACAGGGGCCCAGGTAATTTTCCTACAAGAGACCCATTTAGTGGGATACAAAGTGATGGCCCTTAAATGGCTGCATATTTCTCATGCTTTTCATGCTACCTATTCCTCTTATTCCAGAAGATAACTATTTTGATCACTAAATCTTTACCTGCCTGGATTGAGGAGGTGTTTCTTGACCCTCAAGGTTGCTATATTATATTAATCCTTTGTTATTGTGATATATATTATACATTGGTTAATCTGTATTTACCCCCTCCATTTGACACTCAAAGGTTGTCTGCCTGTACTTCTAAAATACTACAAGTTGCAAAAGGTACTATTGTTATAGCAGGTGACTTTAATGCTGTTATGAATCCTTCTCTTGATAGGTTGCGGGGTTCCCATACCTCTTCCTCAACCCTTCGGGACTGAGTGGACAGTTATGGGTGGGTTGTGATGTTTGGCGCTGGATGCATCCTGATCAAAGAAGTTACTCTTGTCACTCTCTTGTCCAATGGAACCCTTTCTAGACTTAATATGGTTTTTATTACTACTGCTTACCTCCAACAGGTTACAACAATCCATTACCTACCTAGAGCTATCTCAGACTATTCCCCATTGGAGCGTCAGCTCCGGACGGCTAATACTCTGGGGCTGAGCACATGGAGGGTTAGTCCTTTTTGGCTCTCAGACCCTATGGACCTTTACAAATGCCATGATGATATCAACAATTATTGGCAGGAGGCTTATCTGATGACACCCTTTGGCCTCCAATGTGATGCTTTTAAGGCTGTTATGAGGGGCTCCTATATTACTGGGGTGGGGGCACTAAAGAGAGCCAATGCATCCAGACATGTAAAATCAATATGTTGCCCATACCTCCTCTCATACCTATCTTCAATGGAAGGAGGCTAAGAGAGCTTATAATATAAAGTTGTTTTACCAAGCACAACATATCTTTGATTCAGGTGATAAAAATGGACGTCTACTTGTCTTTTTGGCCAGACCTGTACAAGAGACTTAACATAAAAATAGTGCAGCGCTGAAAATAATGACAAAATGACAAAAAAAGTAGTCCACTAAAAGTCTATGTCATATAAACGTATCCAGTGTCAGATGTGGATTCAGAATAGGTGATCCGTGTGGAAATGGCTGGAAAACGCACTCACCAGAAGTAAGACACATAAACGCAGTGTGTATATAAAGCTCATGGATCTTCAATCCAGAGGGAAGTAAAGCTGATCCGGTTACAGGAATGGTGGATCCCTCCTCCGCAGATGCAGTAACAGATCTTCCTTAACACGATTAGATGTAGAATTCCAAGACCAGGGTTCTGCAAGCAAAAGCTCCTCAAGGGAGTTTTAGGGAAGGACACCCATAGTGAAGTAGGTAATAAAAGGCAGCTTTATTCACAATAATGATATCCAATTCAAAGCAGGCAGGTATCATACAGATGTGTCAGCAAGACAACTAACCCTGGTACTTTGAATAGTGGCCGCCGGGCCTCCACGTGGCACCGGCGGCGTAGCGTCTCGACGTCCAGGCTCCTCCTTACGCGTTACGTGCGCACGCACATCTTCAGAGGTATGGAACCATTGACGTATTGACGCGAATGGGCGCATATATATAGGCATAATGACGCATGCGCAGTAGCGTGTGCGCCAATGCGCAAAACCCAAGGCGCATGCGCGTGGCTCCGTCTTCCATTTTAATGGAGCTCGAAGACACAGGGTTCCATACCTCTGAAGATGTGCGTGCGCACGTAACGCGTAAGGAGGAGCCTGGACGTCAAGACGCTACGCCGCCGGTGCCACGTGGAGGCCCGGCGGCCACTATTCAAAGTACCAGGGTTAGTTGTCTTGCTGACACATCTGTATGATACCTGCCTGCTTTGAATTGGATATCATTATTGTGAATAAAGCTGCCTTTTATTACCTACTTCACTATGGGTGTCCTTCCCTAAAACTCCCTTGAGGAGCTTTTGCTTGCAGAACCCTGGTCTTGGAATTCTACATCTAATCGTGTTAAGGAAGATCTGTTACTGCATCTGCGGAGGAGGGATCCACCATTCCTGTAACCGGATCAGCTTTACTTCCCTCTGGATTGAAGATCCATGAGCTTTATATACACACTGCGTTTATGTGTCTTACTTCTGGTGAGTGCGTTTTCCAGCCATTTCCACACGGATCACCTATTCTGAATCCACATCTGACACTGGATACGTTTATATGACATAGACTTTTAGTGGACTACTTTTTTTGTCATTTTGTCATTATTTTCAGCGCTGCACTATTTTTATGTTATTGCTTTTAAGTGTTATTGGTTGCTTAGAGTGCTTAGCCGCTTTCAGGATTAGCGCTCACTGCTGT